ACTCAACGGCACTAACTCTGCACTCTGAGCTTTATACCTAAATATGGTTTTAGGGAACTAATTACATCTCTGAAGAGGGACAATAAACTACTGGGAAGCTGTTCTGTATGTGAGAGTCAGTAGAAGTTGTCCAGCTTGTGCTCTGGGCTCAGAAGACCTAGCTGGAGGGCCATCCTGGTTCTGAAGGCCAACATGACAGCACGTTCAGGGGGAGGGCCGAGAGGCAAAAGAGTGTGACTGGCATAAAGCAAAAAGCAGGGTAGTAGTCTCCCCTTTCACTTGATATAAAATTCAAATTCTCTGGCCCAAAGGCCCTACCTGTGTTGTGGACTCTCCTCTTCTTCCAACCATCGCAACTCATGGCACTGACCCCACACCCCATCCCTGCGCTCCAATGGGTTGAGCCTTTGTCTTATTTGCTGGACGCACCCGGCCAGTTCCACCTCAGGGCCTGCTGATCCCACATCTGGAATGCTCCATCCTCATCACCTCATAGGTGGCTCTTCGTTGTCCTGCAAACCTCAATTCAAATGTCACCCCATCTCCCATCTCTTATCTACTCAGGTACTTCTACTCCAGATCTACCACATTACTTGATTTAGTCTTTTGTTACCACCATCTGCCATTTTCTGTTCATTTACATGTTTTTTTTAATCTGGCTGCATCTTCTAGAATGTCCTAGCAAGTATCTTGTCTGTCTTATGTCTCCCCAGCATGTAGAACAACCCAACTCATAGGAAATGTTCAAAGAACATTTGTCGAACAAATGAACAGGTGCTTAGCCTGGAGAGGAGAATGCTGTCGCCAGATATTTACAGATGTGTTATGAGAAGGAAGAGTAGTCTTATTTGGTTTCACCAGTGGATGGAGAATGAGGGGTGGGAGGCAGATTTCAGCTCTGAGGAAGAACTAGCATACAAACCTAAGTAAATATGGTGTGACCTGCTTTGGTGGGTGAGCTCCCTGCTACTGGAGGCATTCAAGCAGAGGCTAGACACCCCTTGGTAGGAATATTGCCATGCTCTAGACAAGGTTCTTGCACTGGGCAGGGCCTGGCATATAAGATGTCTTCAAGTCCTCTTCGACCATAAGAGCCTGTCTTTGCACATTGACATCCTACAGTACCCAGGATATGGTACAAACTCCCTAATGTCAATCTCCTCCAGGGTGCAGACTGAGAAGGGCTTTTTCCTGGAAGACTAAAACAGTCTTCATCAGTAGGTCCCATCTTTATTCATTGATTCTCGTGATTTTATTTTTACAAGAAAAATAAACACCTCAGAGTAATGTTTTTCCACCTGCAGCAGAATCCCTGGGATGCTTTGTTAAAACTTTAGATTCTGGGGCTCCCCAGTTCCACCAGATCAGAATCTCTGGGGGTGAGCTCAGGAATCAGGATTTGATCGAGCACCCAAGGTGATCCTTATGTCTACTAGAGTTGGAAGACCACTGTTTCTAGCTCTTCTCCTCCCTGCTTATTACAATAAGCGGCATCCTCACCACCGAGGATGAGTTGCAGAGTCCCACCTGGGGGCCTTGACCTAACTGATGTACTAGATTAGCAGTCCCTAACCTTTTGGCACCAGGGACCAGGGCTCCTAGGAGAATCTAATGCCTGATGACCTGAGGTGGAGCTGAGGTGGTGATGCTGGTGCTGAGGAGCAGCTGTAAATACAGATGAAGCTTTGCTTGGTCACCTGCCGCTCACCTGCTGCTGTGTGGTCCGGTTCCTAACAGGCCATGGACCAGTACCAGTCTGTGGCCCGGGTGTTGAGGACCCCTGCACTAGATGGTTGAAGAGAAAGCAGAGACTACTCCCAAAGGAAAAGGGACCACCCAATTCACCACACAGAGCCTAGGCTCCTAGAAGAGGTTAGGTGCTCCTCAAGCTGGAGGAAGAGTGTATGTAGCTTTCACAAAAAGCATAAATAGGGAACTGCCAGGATACAGATGAAAGGGTATTCAAGTCAAACTCACATTCATTATCTCTTGGTGATTGTTCTAGAATTGTTTAGTAAATGGAACCTGGGAAAAAGGTCATCTCCTGCATCGTAGGTAACATTTTACAAAAGGAAAAAGAAAAAAAAATCCCGGGATCTATGTTTGCACAATCTTCCTCCTGACCTCCCCTGACGGTCACGACCTGCATGCAGAGAGCGCTTCTTGGGAGCAGTTCCTCCATGACCTCTGTGGGAGGAGCTGACCTGCACAGTGAGGGTACAAAGCCAGGGCTAGCCATCCGTGGTTCCTGGCGTGGGAGAGATTGGCACTGAACTGGCTTGCTCTCAGACTGAGACCTACCTATGCCTGCTTTCTTAAGTGTCTCAAAATGGGAATATGGGTCTCACGTTTACAGATGCCTGGGTGGTCGCAAGTCATTTTGCTACAGGATCTTGGTGCAGCAGAAATGCCCCCTCCAGCCCACGACCCTCAGTACCATTGGGCTGGGGTTCTGGTTCGCTCACAAACCGCTGATGCATCTGCTCGTTCCTGCCAGGAATCTGCTAACCAGAAGGCTGGACTCGGGGGCCTGTAGGTAGTGTCCAATCAAGTGTGATTATAAACAGAACAGGGTTTGCCAACGAGAACTTTCTCTCAGATTCGGTCTATCACAAGGTCACTCCGTAAGGCCTCCATTAGAGCATTTTAAAGGGAGCTGTGAAATCGGGAGACCTTGCTACAGAGTTATTATCTGGTGACCCAGAGTGTGCCCCTGACACCAAAGTGACCACCTCCTGGCTCTGCAAAGACACTTTCCCCTCCCTCTGCCTGCTGGGCCTAGGAAAGGCCAAGGAGCCAGTGACCCAAACAGCTCTCGGCTCAGCTGAGATAAATGCATGGCTCCTCCTAGGGGAAGGAAAGCATTTCCTTTGCTATCACTCCACTCAGCAGGCTACGAGTTTGGGGTGCAATTTAAAAGGCACTCTGGGATAATCAAATTTATCCAGGTCCACGTGGGGTGGAGGGAAAGGACTTTTGACACTTTGTAGGACACACAACTTATCAAATAAAATCAAAACACGCTGGAGAGTTCACATGAACTGTTATTTCCTTTAATAATGCAAAGATGTAAACTTCATAAAGGCCTTGCTGATTATCTACACAACAATGTTATCATTCTTATTAGTACAAAAACGTGATCCAAACCTGCCGTATAAATATCCCCCAAGTATGCAGAGACACCCTGTGGTGTGTGGGGCGTGGGCAGCAGGCAGCGCAGATACAGGGTGCGGAGGCAGGGCGTGGAGCTAGGCGGTGAGCACTCACTCCTGTGGGGCTCTCTGAGCGCCAATGTCTTAAGGGTTCTGGCAGGGCTGGGACCGCAGCCATAACCAAAAGCTCAGTGTTCAGTAGGAGTGGGTGTGTCCTCATGGGGTCTCCTGAAAGGCATCGATTACAAACCCCGGGCCTGCCTATATGCGGCCACTGCCACGACTCCAAAGTTGCTTCAGCTGAGGCCTGCCTGTCTCCAGGATGTGATGAAGAGACAGGGCCTTGTAAGGCCTCCCCTCACTTTGGGCTAGATCTCCAAAGAGTCCCTTCAGAAACAATGACACTGTCCCTCACCTGTGGGTGGTACTGGGATCTGGGGAGGCAGACCCCTGAGATCAGTGTTCCTGGGTGAACATGTGACTTCTGCCCAAGATGATATCAAGAGCATGCCAGGAGCCAGGAGAACAGTGACAGGTCATCTGCGTGAGGTCTCATCTCTCCCTCTATAACCCTCTTTATAGATCTTGCTAACTGACCTGGGATTCTCACACCAGGCCCAGAGGCACCATGTGCCTCTCAACGCTCTGCCTCGTGCCTAAGAACCACGCCGGTTCTGCTGCCCAGGTGCAAGGGGAGGTCAGGGATCCCAGAGAGAGAGGTTTGAAATGGGGCTAGAGGCAGCTGGGGCTGAGGCCAGAGGCAGTATCCTGCCTGAGCTGTTGGGCAGCATTTGGCTTCTGACTTCTGCACAGGAGTCTCTAAACTATGAGTGATGAGGACATGGGCAACTCTGCCTTGCAAACCATGGGATCACTTGGATTCCCAAAAGGAAAGTCTAGTCTTTGAACATCAAAAAATAACAACAGAACTAAAAAATAAAGAGACCAAAGAGAACAAAAATCAGACTTCTGTGGAGATGCTCAGAGATGAGATATGTGGAATGATGTGACCACAATGGAGGGAGGGAGTTTTTATTCAGTAGAAGCTCCATCCCTAGGCACACACATCGATGTCACTGAGCAGGACTCACTCGGAGTCTCCATGTGGGACTTTTGCAAACACCCACTACTTCCCCTCCTGGGCCCATGGGGAGGTTATTCCCAACAGCAGAGAGGAGCAGCTGGCTTTCACCAGTTTTAAAAATGTCACTAAAGCCACTGACCAATAGGGAGCTTGGGGCTTTTGGAAAATATGACAGGCTGACTGAGTCCCAATTCATCAACACTCCGGTCCAGGAGTGGCCTGTCCCCTCCCTCAGCCCTGTGAGCATGTATGGGGAGGGCTCAAGGCTTATGGCTGGCTCACAGTGGATGCTTCCAACCTGGGAGACTGACTTATGCGATAATGTGGGTCGCTACTGAACCACAGTCTCCAAGACATGAGGCTTTGTGCTAATCTGCAGCCTTGAGGCAGGTATCGCCCCATCTGGGAGACACGCATCTCATGAAGCCGGCAGGTGTTAGGCACATCACAGGTTGGCCCTATTCACAGAGCCAGCATAGGGTGCTGGTTATAATACCAGGCCAAAGTGACTCCCAGAATGTTTGGTCAGCCCCAGTAAATACTCGACAAATTCAATTTCTTCTGCTGCGGGGGCAACAGAGTGAATTAATTTGCCATTATGTCAGCAAAATGCTCAGGTGAATCACAGTGGTCTGGCTCCCTTACCATGGGCGCTGAAATGCAGGCAAAGCCAACTATGTGTTGAGGGGCAGAGGAGGAGCATGGAGTTAGAATGGGGGCATGTGGTGATTTTAACAAGCTGATTCAAGCTTTAGGGGTACTCAGAAATCTTCCTCTGCTACATCATTTTCAGGTAAGAACATAAGATGCAACAAGTAGCAGATATGCAGAAACATCTCTGTAAACCTAGCATAATGTTTTTTTTTTTTTTTAATACTGTTTAAAGAAAAAAGCTCCAAAATATTTTGCATTGCCACTAAGAGAGGGGTAAACACCTTATGAAGTGGCACAAAAGTATATGTAAATGGTAAAATGTCTGGAGGTCCAGCTTTTTCCAATTGCCAAACCTTCCTCTTCCACAGAGTGCGTGGTGGCACAGCTGTGGCGGTCCTGACTTGTCCTTCCAAAGGAGGCTCATAGGAACTGGGCTTTTAAGCAAATTTAATTTTTTCATGTTCTTAAGTTCCTAACAGAGCAAAAGAAGAGTCACTGCAGAGAAAAGCAATGAGACAAAGGTGTAGGACGCAGAGGAGCCTCCCAAGGTCGCTGCAGGCGCCAAGCAATGGGTCCCCAGAGAGAATGTGGTTGTTTAAAAACAAAGGTGGCAGTGGGGATGTCCCAGTGACGTCCAAGGTGATATGTGTGACGACAGACACAGGGAGGGGAGGGGGAGAAGGAAAGAGAAGGCAGAGACAGAAACAGAGAAAAAAATAGATAAAAAGAAAAAAAAATTAGGTCAAATACAGAAAATGCAAGAATCAAAGGTTAATTCAACTTAGTAAATTAAACTGACAAAGGTTAGAGAAGAGTTCAGTGCGGTATTACCACCATCAGGCCAGTTCCGAAGCTCAGCAAGGCCAGAAGCAGCACAGCAGGGTGAATTTGGGGGTTAGGGGGTCAGCGAGCAAATGAAATTAAAGTGAGAGAACAGAAGCCTCCACAGTAAAATATAAGGGGTTTGATTAAATGAGTGTTATCTTTGACCAAGGTGAGGTCTCTCAGATATGGGCAACGAGCCTACCCAGAGCCTTCTAGTCACTAGAGCTTTTTACATGTAGTGGTGGAGATGCATTTGATCGCTGCACTATGTGTAGCAAACTGTGCGCAAGGATGGGGGCCAGCTTTTTAATTATGAATTAAACTCTTTTTCTTATTGCACAATCCTCCCACCCACAGTGCTATTAAAGACAATCTAGTTCTGTCCCCTCACCTTCTACCACCCTGCCAATCACTGAACACCACCACGAATGTACATCTTGTAATTCAGAGGTTTCATCCTCAGGTCCAAACGCAATGGCCGGCAAAGTCCAACGCAGCAGAGAGCCACCTCCTCTAAGACCCACACAGAAGAGCCCCAGAACCCTCAGGAGTGAGGCGAGCAGCCCCTCCAACCCTCTCTGGGTTAACTGGGCTCCTGGATGATTAATAAGAAGGACTCCGACATCTCCTGTGGGCAGGGCTCCGGAAGACGAGGTCTTTCCAGAATTTCTGTATCTGACGCACACTGACCCCAGCTTCTCCAACCCCAGAAGCTGATGCTGCTGGCAGAACCCAGCATGTAAACGCAGCATGTGCAAGCCACCTGTCTATCGGGTCTTAACCCAGGAAACAAATGCCATCAGGAATCTGTCATGCTGCACAGGGTTACTCAAGCTTCTCACGCCTCAGGTCCTCAGTGTTCCATAAAGGCCGAGCAGATCTAAACACTCAGACCAGACTGTTGATTACAAGGAAAAACTGACCAAAGTATGCAAAGGAGGAAGGAGCAGAGGATGGCGGGGCCACCTCCATATGGGCATCATTAAGCAGTAGTGAGGACATTTCTTGTAGCCACACTCAGGTAGGTGCCTTGCCTTCGGCACGGACCATTTGACCAGTGCTTGCGGAGACATACCCACCCCAGCATGTGTTAAGGGGCCTCCCTGACGATGTAGAGGGTAGGACAAATTGATGCTTCTGATCTATGGCTGAAGACCCACCTGCCAGTTCCTGGAGGCCCCATACGTCTGTCAGACACATACATCCATGCACAACCAACCACAGGGAACCACACGCTGATATCATTTTGTTGCTACCTGAATAACCTACTTTCACACGTATTGCCCCGTGTAGTGGGCAGCCCACATCCTTTCTGGCCTCTCTCCCAGTGAGAGGAGCAATTGTGACAACTGAGCAGGGAGACTGGGAAAACGCTATAAACAGGACAAGCGTGATAGGGGCCAGACCTAGACCACCAGGAGATCCGAACACCTTCCTCTCGTACCTGAACATGACAGAGAGTTTATGGGGCCACCTTCCTCTTGTACCTGAACATGACAGAGAGTTTATGGGGCCCTCTCCAACAGGCTGTAGCTATGTTCTATGCCTGCCTCTCCTGCCTGTGGTTGGCATTTGGTTGGTCTGGAAAAGCAGAGTGATGCTGAAGATCTCTTTCTGCTCTGAGGAATTTGGTAAATGAGAAGATGGGCCATCACCAGCAAGGTAGCTGGGCCAGAAAGCAGAACTCTCACTTTATTCCCATGATTGCATTGGTCCTGCATCCCTAGAGATGGACCTGCATCTCTGAAGAGAACTGCTCCCATCATGATTTGTAGCAGACTGGATTGTCTTTCATGGATGAGATATTTCAGCATCTACTTTCTCCATTTATTCTGTTTTAAGTGGCTCAATTTATTCTTTGTTTCATTTGAGAGGCCCTTGGCAGAAGGGATTTTTAAATAACTAGGCACCATGTCTTCCTTCTCTTGGGGTCCCCACAGAGAAGATATTTGAACCATGGTTGTGCAGGTAAGCAAGCATCAGATAGAAAGCGCTTAAAAACAGTTATATGGTCCTTGTCTGAAATGGCAGATGGCAGATAAGGTCTCAGAAAAGATCCTTACTCAACCAGCTTTCAAACCTTAGCTGGAAATTGGGCTTTTCCCATCTGAAGGGTCCAAAGGACTGGTTCAGCATCAGTCCTTCAAGGCCAAATGACACAGGACCTTTGCCCCAGGATGCCTGGCCAAGCCTTCCTGGGAGTCCGGTACATCTCAACTCACTGCACAGATAGGTACAAAGCAAGACTAAGCTTCGCATGGTCAACCAATCATGAGAATGGCTGGAAGCAAGCAAGTTGTCAGGGGCTGTTCAGGCACATTAGGAGGTGCAGCACTTGTGCATTAATTCAAAGCGGGAAACTCACAGAAAGCAGAGGCACTCATACCTGGGATGGCTGTGGGCTGGGCCGAGGTCCTGAACACAAAATGAGCCGCCTTGGACTTCCCCTGCTGGTTCTCAGCCACCACGTAGACCTCATACTCAGCATTCCAGTCCAGGGACTTGAGCATGACATGGTCACTGCCAGACGGGAGCCTGATCTCTGGTTTCCACTCGGAGGAGAGCTTCTGGGAGAAACCGGCAGGAGGGACACAAGACACCAGGAAGCATTAGAAAAAAACACTGGCAAGACCAGCTAAGAAGAACTTAAGAAAGTCAGTAACTTGGTGCAAAATATTAAAAATAAAAACCCATGATAGGACATGGTGTTTACTCTTTACCAGCCTGAAAAACCCTAAGGATTACACAGGTCAGGAGGTCAACCTTACATGTTCACAAATACAAACAGTAGCAGGTGCCAGTGTGGCGTGGGGTCGACTCTTCAATGTCGCATCACCTTCAGGGCATATAGGAATTCAAGCACCAGCCCCATCCATCCCCCAAGCTACACTCTGGAATGCTGGGCATATATGCATACATTCATCCTAGAAAAGTAATAAATATGTTTCTTGTCCTATTTCAGAACGTCGCTCACACTAGGTATATAACTCACATCCCTGACATAGGAATACTGCATAGAATCCAGTTTTATTAACAATAAAAACTATCATTTATTGAGCACTTACTATGTGCCAGGCGGGCACTGCACTAAAGGCTTTCCACACATTTTCTCCTTGTATCTCAACAACAAGCCTGCAAGGGGTTGTGTCAGGCCCTTACTAAACCTGATGGCAGGCAAGTGAGACACATTAGGAGACTTCCCAAAGCCACAGAGGCAGTCTTGGTTGGGGCCAAGTGCATCTGGGCCCAAAGCTGTGATCTTTCCTTTTCATAGCAGGGGGTTCAACAAGTATCTGTTGAACTGAATTGGATTTTTCTATTCCACGCAGTGTACCTTGGTCTCTACAACTACAGCTAGAGGCATCTCAGGTGTAAATTCTGCTGTCAGGTTCAGCATTGGGGTGCTCAGAGTACCCACAAGGAAGGTATACTCAACTGAACGGAGCACGCCCAGGGCCAATTTTGCAGCTGGAGTTGTGGGCATCCCTTTTCTCATTGGATATTCTTTTCAGTTATATCCTACACATTCTCCAATGAGTTTGTTCTGAGTGGAAGTTTATCAAACCATCATTAGGTGATCACCTCCCTAACACAACAGTAGTGAAAGGAGGTTGTAAGACTTCCTGAGAAGTCTTCAGATGGTGTCACAATTGCTCGGCCCCCGTCTTCACGATCTTTGAAGAGGTGTACGCTGGGCACGTAAGAAGGTTTGACAAATGTTTACTAAATGACGGGCTGCTCCTCAGAAGAAAAGAACATGCTAGCAGTGTCACCTGAAACGTGGTCTAGCCCGTGGCTGAGGCTGGAGGAAGAGTTTTCTTATAGCAAAGCCATCTTTCCAGGCAAAATGACTTGTGTCAGTCAAAGACATGCCGTTAGGAATGTGACAGTGCTCATACCATGGCTGTAACTATTGTGAGGAAATGCTACAAGGGAAATACCAGTTTCTTTAGAGCCTAACCAGGAAGCTGGGCTATGCCTCAAGTTAGCTTGTGCAGACGTCACAATCCTTTAAAAAGGATTACATGTGACCCTTTTTAATTTAAAACAAGACAGCTGTCTTTTCCCCTTATTTCTCATAAAGGCTTCTTTTCTTGGCAAACACTACAAAAGAGATAACCAGAATATAAAGCAAATATTTAAGAAAGAAATCATTGTTATATAATATATATTAATGATATATAATAAAAATAATATTTAGCAAACATTAAGTTTTTGAAGTGGGAGAGAGAAGACGGTCAAGGTTGTTGAAATCTAACATATCTCTGTGTTTTGTCCCAGTCGTCTTTCTAATGCAGATCTGCCCTGGCATGAGTCTCTTGTGGAAAACTGACATCTAAGGTGGCCTCTTATGAGAGAAATTTCCAGCCCTCGCCAGCATCTTTGTAGTCGTTAGGATATTTACCACGTATAGAAGTCTTCAAGTGTCAGGCACATTTCAGGTTCTTTGCATATATTACAACTAATCTTTACAAAAACCTGAAAAGCTATTTTGTTCCCATATCACAGAAGGAAAAATGGAGGTTTTGGAAGATTGATGGCATATTCAGATCATATGCTGGTAACTGGTAAAGCTGGAACTGGATCCCATGTCTGTCCGGGCCACAGCAGTGGAACAGTGCCCAGGGGTATCCCACCTTACTACACTGTCCACGTCCAGCAGGCTATGCGGGGCCACCTGCCCATACCCTGCTTCTGCCCCATAGTGAGTAAGCCTCCCGTAAGGGCTGCTTCTCTGCTGGGCCTGAGGGAAGTCAGCTGAGGCTCTTCTTCTGATGTCAGCTCATACCTGGCTTTGCAATTAAGTGGAAAAGGGCTGAGTGGATTGACAGGTCTGTCCACCAGCTGAGAAGCGTGCCAGGTATGGGTCTGTGCTGTGCTGACTCCGTGTTAAGCTTAACCAGGTAAGGGCTCACATTTCACTTCAATGGTGGTTGATCAAAAGGCAGAGAAGGAGTAAGTCAACTTCCGGGACAGAGCCTTGTTTGAAGAAAGACAACTGCTCTCTGGTTCATTAATTCCCATTCCCTAGCAAAAGGCTATTATTCCCAGTGCTCAGACATCGCCTCTAATCTTTCAGCAACTGTTGTGGTTGGCAACGGCCAAGTGTCATTCTAAAACCAAAAAAAAAGAGTGCTTCTCAATTTGGGGGTTAGGAATGAAAGGTGGAATGACAGAATTCTTAGATGGGTGGTGAGCCAACCAGGGAGAAAAGGCTTAGGGCCAAGTTCATTATTAGCAGAATTAGAACAGCTCAGGTGTGGATAAAGAGCAGGTGAGGGAACTAACCCAACCCCTTTAGTCAGACAGATCCGGATTCCAACCCTGGCTTGCCCAGCTGTGTCCTATCAGGCAGTTATTGACTGCATAAGCCCCGGTTACTTCCTCTGCAAATTGGCAATAATCGTAAGATCTACTTCACAGGGTTCTTGTGGAGAGAAAATGCATGTAATCACAGTTCTTGGCCCATAATACGCACTTTGCTAAAGGTAGCAATTATTAAATATCAGTACGTTATTTGCAAAAATGTACTGGATAGTGACAAAATAACTTTGTACAGAAGTTCAAGAAGCAGAAAAATCAGTCATGAGTTTGTCACCACCATGGTCATTTTAGAGATCTTAAAATGCTCCCAGTGCGGACATGTAGTAATAGTTGCAGGTCAATCTTGAGATTTAAAATCCTGACCAGTGCCCCAGAGAGTGACTCTGTCCGGCCCCGCCCAGCCTGGGCTTTGCATGTTGTTTGTTGCACCAACAAAGGGGTGTCAGGGTTGCGGGGCTGGGGGTGGTGACTGGGGAAGGAGGCCACTCACCGCTCGGTACTTGACCAGGTAGTGTCTGATGGGGGAGCCGCCGTCGTCCTGCTTGATCAGGTTCACCTTAATGGAGTTGCCGTCCTCTCCCATCTGCCCTTCGAGCTTCGGAGCGCTGGGTTCCCCTGCAACAGCCAGTTAATTCACATGACATTTTCCTCCACCAAATGAAAACCCAGTCCATCAGAATGGGATGTAGTGATGGGGTGGGGCTGGACCCTTGCTTTCTCAGAAATTCAAGTGGTTAAAGAGCAGTAAATATAAAACTTCGGATTCCAGTTAGATGCCCTAACTTGGTGCCTTTTGGCGTGTTCCAGGAAACACCCTCCCTGTAAGCACAGTCCTGTTACCATTCTAGAAATTGGCTTTTTGTGTCTGTCTCTCACTGGTACTTGCATTTTCTGTTAGCTGCTCTTAGAACCGCAGATTTAACTTTTATAAACCGGATACATTTTGAGAAACAGCTTGAAATATGGGAAAATGTAAGCATTTATGGAGAAAGCTTACATGCATAGTACAATTTTTCAAAGCAGCCCGGTCTCTTCCTTGGATATCTAAGTAATTTTATTACTCAAGTTCATTAAAAAAATAATTTGCGTTTTGGCTGTGATTAAATAAAGCACAATTTGCCATAGGCAAGTTTCTTGCAAGTATCCTGCATTTATGGCTCAGCTGACTGAGTGATAATCCTTGGCACCTTGTATTAAAGTGACAATCGTTAAAGTCCTTTTCTTTGTGAGGAGAGCGAGAGAAAAAATGTCTTTAGTGTTTCTCAACAGAAAAAGGTCGATGTTTCTCTTTATTTATGGTATACGCTCAGCATGTAGTACTCTGAAACCGAGGTCAAGAGGGAAGATGAGCTTGTATGTGACAAACTACCAGGGCTGGGATGGCTCTTCAATGAGTAAGGCGCCGATTTACTTTAAGAGAAACTAGTTCATTAGTATACGCTGAAAACAATGAGGTGAGAAAACATCTGATGTAAAAAGCTAAAACGAAGATTTAACACATTTGGGAATCCTGCGTTTCCTGTGGGAACCATCTCTGAATTTATTTCATAGCCTCAGAACATTTGGGAGAGCCTATAAAACAGTTCCTTTTTGGGTGAGCTGTCCTGGCTTGATCTCTGGAAGACATGTGACAAGAGCCAGGAAAGGCTTGTCATCAGGTTTTGGACCTAATCACCCAAAAGTGCACCTTGAGTCATTTATGAGAAGGCTGCTGGCAAGACCAGTCCAGCCTGCCCTCCTCATTCAGCTACTCTGGGAACCTCAAAATGGCCCAGTGTCCTGTTCTTCCTCTGAGACAGGGAGGAGGAGCCAGAGAGAGAAAGCTAAGGGCAGCGTGCGCACCACGTGGACACTCGTTAGAAAGCAGACTCTGATTTTATCCCAAGGTAATCATCAGTGTGCACATTTAGGTTTGACAAGTAGCAGTAATGGGCACACATAAAAACGGCGACAGGGAAGATGCGTGACCTTAATGTCTGAGGGATAAAGTAATTTAGAGAGGGCTATGCTTGTTATTTGTTTTCTTTAACTAGTAATTAAGAGGAAACAAACACAAAAATAAAAAGATAAACGGGCTTCAGGCAAAGATTTGTTCTGTTTCTATGCCACTATGTAGCCGCTGGCCCCAACTATTCAGTGCAAAATATTTTGAAATTTGCTTTAGATCATGTCAAGGCATGTTCCAGTGCTAAGAAGAAACTCAAAGTGAAATAAATTTTGAAGTAAGGCAGGTCTGTGTATCACCAGTGCGGAACAACTGGAAGTAGGAGGTGCAGCAGAACTTTACAAATTCTATTCTCCGACTGAATTAGGGTAACCAACTCACTCCAGTTAGCCTGGGACTTTCCAGGTGTTAGTACACCAAGTCTTACACTTTGGGAAAACCCTTAGTCCCAGGCAAACCAGGGTAGGTGGTGATCTGGGATTGAATGAAGATGGACATGAATTATTATAACTTGCTGTATTCAGAATCGCAATACTGACTCTGTGACGAATGGTCTATTTGCCTCAAGAAAGAGGGAAGGAGGTGGCATCAGTGGTCCTTCCAACACACCCACCAAGCAGGAACCCAGTCTTTCCCCCAAGGCCTCCTTGGAAGGGAAATAGAAGTTAATCCCCTGGGGCTACTGTGGCTGCACCTTTCTTATTACTTCCTCTCAGATTTGAGCAGTGTGGGTTCCCAAGGCTGAATCAATACCGCTAAACACGGAATTCTGCTTTGGGGGAGTATCTATTTAGAAGAGGGCACTCTCTCTGCTTTTTGTGAAGGTCCCCTTAAAATTGAATGCTAAGGACGCCATGGAAGAGCCCAGGGGGTCAGCTGCCTTGGACAGGCCACTGCCTCCATCTCCACATTTGCAAAATACTGAACCAGTTGTTCTCTAGGGCTCCTCAATTTGACATCACTGTAACACAATGACGGTCACTGCCCTAGGATGGACTATCAGGATCAGCATGGCTATTTTCATGACATTGTAAAAGACAGAACACAAAATATAGGATGTTCATCCACTTTTAGGGAAATATACTCCCAAATCAATAATTCCATATTTCTAAGGCATAGAGTTGCCGATTTTTAAAATCAATTTTTAAGAAGTTATCTCAAAAAAGTTCTATCTTTGAAGAGACCCCCCAAGTCTCTGCAAAGACATATGAATAAAAATGTCACTAAGGAATCCCTGCAGAAACCAATAAAGGCCCTCTCCTTTGGATCTGTTTCTGAAAAAATTTCATTGGAATCACAGAGGAACTACTAAAAGCTATACCACAATTAGAACACAGTTGTAACATCTGCCAAAGTTAAAACACTATAACTTGCTATCATTTTACCTGAGTGACAACCATGTTACTCTGATATGTATTACTTTCTCATAGAATTTAGAGCATTTTATATAATATTCAGGTGTCTCATTTAGAGTGCTTTAAATGTGATTTATTCAACAAATAACCTACTAGGTTACTCTATTAGGCTACTAGGCATTGGAGTTTAAAGGTGAATAAGACAAGGTTTTGTTTGCCAAATGAAAAAAAAAACACTGAGTTATGATCAATTTAAAAAGATAGTGGGGCCCTTGTGTAGAAACATAATCCTTTCTATGACAGTATATCTAAAGGAAGCTCATATTCAACTGACATCATAGGATTTTGACCAACTTTGTGGCTACGTATATTTGTTTAATCTTATGCATCTTCAGATGTTTACTATTGGCCAATCTTTTTTTTTTTTTAAGATTAGAAAGGAAAATATATCCTGAGCACTCTGCAAAAAGAATTCTTCAGCCATGCTGGACAAGGAAGAGAGGGGCT